GTGTTGTGATTAATGTCCACCAAAACCTTCTTCTTCRCGACAGAAACAATCGCTAGAGGGCACRTGATTGAGAATGRYTGTAWRWTCACATTTCCAAKCCTCCCTCATGCCAGTGATTTTCTGYGGCTCTTTTGTCCTSATGWGTTTGARAAGGCTAGYKTGCAAGACTAAAGATGAGRGTCAATAATTTAGTGGAAGTAGCAAAAATTGTGAAGCCATAGRTTGATTGGATTGTCTCAACTGACAAAGGGCCCAAGAGATGACCMCTGAGRTACCCCCTTAGAATTCAAAGCTATTTCAAGTTTTGTGGATGTACCTTATTCTATTCCATTTCAAACCCGGAAAAACCTAAATATATGTAATTATGACTTTTTTAATTTTGATGTATGCATTTCATTTTTGCAGAAAAGCCCCATTATCAAGGTTCATCTTCTTGAAGTTGAAGACTTTGATGGTAAATAGATAGCAAAATTTAATCCAGGATTACCAAACTATATCATATTCAATCAATATAAACTATAGCCGAGAAATAGAAACTGAAAGTCTGTGTGCATGCTGTGCATTTTTATAAAGCACGCACTTCTAGCCAATCAGAACTGAAGCAAGGATTATAACAGTTATTTTATAAAGATAAATATAAACATATGTAAATAATCATAAATATTGGAAAGTGTGATGTCATAGGAGGCATTTGAGTTTATTTGTCGTCATTTRTTAATTCAMACACTTACTACTATGAGMAAACAAATTTGCAAWAACCTTCCTAYRAACCCTGAGTAGGACAATGATGTTTTATGCAGGACGTTTTACTGCCACAGAAAATTTTTGTATATTTAAGAATACCTCCTATAACATCACACTTGTTAACATATTAATCATGCATCACTTAAATCATWTATCATGTACATATTTTACCATTCTACTATTCACTTTATGTAGAATCATCGTACAGGTAAGGGTGAGGGGTACTTAAAACCCCAGCTATAGTCCCTTTCAAGTTCCTTGCACCATCTTGAAAGGTAGCTGTGCCTTTGCATCCAAGCGAGATGGACGATGAGCTTGCAATAACGATAGAGACATGTGACTAATTGTTCAAGGTGTTAAACAAGGTGTTAAAAAAGGTCTCTATCATTGCAAGCTCACTGTTCATCTTGCTTCGATGCAAAGGCATGGCTACCTTTCAAGATGGTGCAGGGAACTGTGTAAGAGGTTATTATTTAATCAAAAATAAATACTTTAAACACCTTTAATGAATTTTCAAAACTTTTAATACCAAGTTTAACACTCCATTTTACAGTTCCGTTCAGTGACCATGAATTATGATATTTCCAAACCAAGGTTGGAGTTACCATGCAATTTGAAAAGTATAGTTTTACTTTTACTTTATATGAGCATAAACTCCAGCCTCGACTTGGAACTATTATTTGTGGTGCATTCAACCTTGTTGCAGAACATGCATATATTTACATTGTTTTTTGTTATATTTAGACTGTACATTAAAAGTAATTTTTATCTAGTTCAGTAGTTTTGTGTAACAGCTATAGTGGTATGGTTGAAGGGTGTCGTAAGCTCTCCAGCACGGAGGTATGGGACAGCCATCTTCTTCCTCTTTCAAATGGAAGCCACAGTTCGTACACTTTTTTGAAAAAATACCTTGAAAACTGTCAAGCCATTTCTGAAAATAATTTAAGCTTTGAGAATTAACAATGAATAGACCTATCGTGAATTTACTTGACTGATCACGACACAATGGTTTCAAGTCGAGGTGGGACTTGATGAATAAAAGAATCAAGTTCAGTTTCGACTTCAAGCCATTGTTTGGTGGTCATCACATCTTTCCTCGAACGGTCCGGCATAAAACAAACGCTGAAATACCATTCTCCATCTTAAATCCTTACTAAGTGGTAAGGGCATTCTGGATTTTCAATTCACGAGTTGAATTTTACATTTAAAGTTCAGGACGACGCACTTGATGCAAAGAAAACATAATGAAACATGATATTTCTTTTAGTCTAAATGTGTAAATGTCTTTTTTTGGTGGACAACGTTAATGACATTGTCTGTATATATAAACCAGCTACAACATACCACAAAATTGATGACCTGTAGAATATTATCACTAGTTGTGTAATAGTGAAGCATTGCAGATGTGGCATAGGCTGTTAACTGAATGACAAGAAGAGAATTCAGTCAATCAAACAACAACAAACAGTATTAAGTGAAGAATTGTTGGTTACCTTGTTGAAGACTTTGTGTCGAGATGGAGAATAAATATCTTCCTGAAAAAAGAAAAAAGGAAAAAAAAAAAAAAAAGAAAAGAAAACGTTTAACAAGACCAAAAACATATGGTAATGTCCAAACATTTCTTATGTTGAGTAGGGTTGGGCTTGGGCTTTGAAGAAATTTTTACAACATCAGGGCTAAAACAATGGCTGTCAATATTGCTGGTTATGATCACAGGCCAAAATAGTTTTTAGCTTAGTCGTACCTCATACCCTGGTTTACAAATGTTACTGGTCATGACTGATAATGCAAAGATTTRACCAGACAAGTGCCAGTTCTGACCAGACATTGTCTGATGTCCAGGCATTATTTTATGCTCTGAATGTAATTTGAGGGTGGGTCGTCAAAGCCTGTCCTTCTAAAGTCAAAGAGGAAAATGCTTTTCTGTTAAACATTTCTTTATATTCTTTGAAGAACTGAAGAAAGACATGAAATCATCCACTGAAGCAAAAAAAAAAAAAAAAAAAAAAAAAAAAAAAAAAAAAAAAAA